CACTGAAGAAAATCTAACTTCCTATAGCACTTTTAAACAAACTTTTGGTTAGAAAAATACATTTAATTACTGAAAATTTCGAGCATTGAAGAAACCAAGTCTTATATGTTTTTGCATATCATTCAAAAGTTATGCCCAAATTAAATCATGCCTTATTTTTATCCCTAGTTGTTCCCCTTTAATTGTGCTATGGTAGAATGTCGATCTCGTCCTCGTATCGGTTTTGTTGACTTTTTTACGCATATGAGAGAAGTCCTCAGCCGATGTTTTATTTTGTTTCTTATATTGATTTGCATGAATAAATTTTTTAACTTGAGTCTCATTACAATAAATCTTTTAGACTTCGTCGTACATGTGTTAATTAATAATGCTTTGTGTCAGGGTTAGAGTAAACGTACGGAAAGTTGAGTAGGTTAGGTCATTTTATTTTTGATTAAAGGTCATATATGAGTTTCCTTGCTGATGGGAGATAATCAGCTGGTGACAGCTCTGCTGGGAAAAGGACTTTCACGCTACACAGATTTTGTGGTGGCAGCGGTGGGATCGCTACTTGGAAAATGCCTTTCCCGCTATAAAATCATAAACATGTAAAAGTATTGAGAATGCCATAAACTTTGATTTGTGTGAGATTGAAAATTGGTGTAGAAAAAAAAATCAAATGGTGTTGAATACCAATTAAACAAAATGTATGCTTACGGGAACTCAACATAGAAAATGAAAGATAAATTCTCCTGAATTAAATTTATATGCTTCAAGCAAATTACCGTAATTGAAATTTTAAACCTGAAAAACACTTTTGGGAATACACATTGATCATTTATTGCGCTATATCCGTCACGGTAGCTCAGTCGTAGAGCGGTCGCTCCGTGGTCGGAAGATCGTGAGTTCGAATCTCGGCCGCGACTGACCTAAGTCAATAAAAAATAGGTAGCAACTGTTCCTTCGACATATGCATGCGCTCAGCACTTTGAATTGAAAGTTGCAGGTCCTTCGGATGAGACCTTAAAAACCGAGGCCCCGCGTCACGTCAAGCGTTGGCACGCCAAAGATCCCTCACTGCTCAATGACCCTGAGTACCAAGTAAAGGTCTAATTTGAAACCCTTCACCGCTATTTAATGACTTCTCTATATGAGTGAAAAATTCTCGACAACTTACAATCAATTAATCAATCATTGCTCTATAATCTATGACGTATAAATTAAACACCTTACAATGCTTACACAAAGTTAAAAAATCTCCCATTACACGCAAGAAAACTATTTCTTTTTAAATTGCAAAAGGGCAACCTGGATTGTATAAGATGTGGCCCATGATGCCCCATCACTACCAATATTTGAAAAAAAAACATAAATGGCTGACCATATCCGAGTTGACTTATTTCATAAATATGTATTACTGTACAAAATACTCCATTGTATGGCACTTGAATATATAAGGGATTCATTTGAATTTATTTTTTCTGATGTTTGTGTGCTTTACGTTCTCAAACCAATTATGACCTTCGTCTACCAAAATATCGAACAAATCAGTTAAAAAAAATTTCTTTTCATTATTCCGGTGTTCATTTATGGAACAAGTTACCTTTGTTTGTACGTTTTCATCAACTGTACAATCATTTCGTAAAAATGTTAAAAAAAAAATTATAATAAAATTCTTTAAAAAAAAAAAAAGCTTGCTGCAACACTGTTTAAATAACCCTCAATTTTATACATAATTCAATATGTCTTAAATTTTTATATGCATTTGTTTTTGTTTTTTTGTTTTTTTTGTTTTTTTTTAAATTTTCGTGTAGTTTTATTTTGAATAGTGTACAATGTTTTCATAATTGTATTATTGTTAATATGTTTAGAGGGCCTCGAGAAAGACTAGTGCATTGCACTAATCGGGTTACCCTCTTTAAGAACAAAATATTGTACATGTATATACATGTATATTTTTGTTTCCTTTCTTATGAATACTTCATGACCCCTATCTGTTGAAGAAAATGATAATCACAGCAAAATCAGAGAAAATGAAACATATGGAGATAACAAAAAGTCCATTAAACAGTACAAAATAGGAGCAGAGCAAACACGAACCTCCAAACATCAGAGGTGGGATCAGGTGCCATGGAGGAGTGAGCATCCCCTGCCGACCGGTCACACCCGCTGTGTGCTCCTTGTAATGATCGGGAAATAACGGACAAATCCGTCGACAATTCAGTATGTAAATAATAGCATAACAATTAGTATGAAAAACGTCAGTCAGCATTTGACTCAATGGTAAATTGTATTTGTTGACAAGGTCATTGTATCGACCATAGAACTTACGAAATGATGACTTTAAACGAGACAGCTGATATTCTTGTTTGTCAATAATTACCTCGAGCTCGCTCTAGAAATTGTACATATGTAGAGCATGCTCTTGCGTATCGAATCAACCCGTATGCGGGTGATGAAGGTATATTGCTGCATCAGTAATGGAAGTTGACGATTGAAAAGTTAAAGTCATCACGTTTATCATAAAGCTTGGTTGTTAGATTACCATTAACGTCTCTTTCAAGTAAAATATCCAAATATGATACAGATGTGTCAGACTCTGTGGTATCTTTTATCTCAATCCCACCGGGATATGTCGTATCGACATAAGAATGGAAATAACCATTGTTAATTGACAATACGTCGTTGATATACCTATATGTCGAGTTGAAGGCCACAGCAATTGTTTTCTTCTTTTCACGTATAAGATTTGGACAAATTCTGCTTCATATGAATACAAAAAAGGTCTGCTAATAACGGGGCGCAATTGATACCCATAACAATTCCAATAGATTGTTGGAAGACCTGGTCTCAAAAAACCACATAGATATTGTCAATCAGAAACTCAAGCATCTTTTTAATGTCAACTTCAGAGTACTTGTTTGTAAAATCAGAATGTTTTTGACAAATTAATTTTGCAAATGACCAATGAAAAGGTAAGTAAATTTACGAGTTCCATTTTTATTGAAAAAGCAGCTGTCAATGATATCAAAAAGCCTGGACTTTCATTTATCGTTGGGAATGGTTGTGTATAAAGTTGATTAATTGTATGTTGTTTATCGTCCCATTCGAGAATTTTTCACTCATTTAGAGACGTCACCGTATACCGGTGAAGGGCTTCAAATTTTGACCTTTACTCGGCGCTTACGGCCATTGAGCAGTGAGGGATCTTTATCGTGCCAACGCCTGCCGTGACACGGGACGTAAGTTTTTAAGGTCTCATCCGAAGGACCCGCAACTTTCACTTCAAAGTGCCGAGCGCATGGCGAAGGAACAGTTGCTACCCATTCTTTATCGACTTAAGTCAGTCGCGGCCGAGATTCGAACTCACGACCTCCCGATCACGGAGCAAGCGCTCTACCGACTGAGCTACCGTGAACGGTTGTATAAAGTTGAAAAGTCGTAAGTTTTTAAGCTGTTGATATTGGTAAAATCTTGTGATTTCAAAATTTCCAAGTTCCTTGGAATTTTCAAGTATCCACATCTGATTTACACCACTTCTCAAATATATTGTTGCACAATACTCTTGAAGTTTCTCCTTCACTACTGTTAATATCTTAGTGAGGAGTAAAGAAAGAGGCTTGGTTGAACATTTCCTTGGTCCGCTATGTATCTTTGTTTGTAAGGATTTTTATGAAGTTTTGGAATCCAATATAAATATGGTAATTCAAATTCATTTTGGTTGTTTGGAATATTAAAAATATTCAAAACTGACATATGATTTTGAAGAATTTCTTCCTTAAAAAGGGAACTATGAGTATAAGTTGGAATACCACTCGTAGAAATAAATCCAAGTTCCTCTAAAATACATTTAATGTAATGAGCCTTACAAACAAAGACAATGTTGTTACCTACTTTGTCAGCAGGGACCAGTACGTAAATAATTCTGATTCTTAAACTAGATTTATAAACACTTTTTGAAATAATTATTTCAATAGTGAGTGCTATTTCATAAGTTGTTGCAACGATGCTATAAACATCTATGATAGCATATAACATGATTGCTGCAATACACCAGAAACTGGAGGAAAAGCAGTGGCTTGGGGGAAAGCAGGGATGAAATAAATAAGTCACATAGTGATTTAAAAAATTGTATATTTTAGTTCATCTTATTAGATAAAATCATAATAAGAATTTGAATTAAAAATTATAGACATGTACTGTATTTAAAGCTCTCTAAAGTAAAGTTTCAAATTTAAGCATGGTTTTCCAATTAAAAAAAAATTTTTTTAGATGCAGCTCTGCAATGAGGCATTAATGGATAACTTCCGAAACAAACTGAATGTAATCAATTTTGATACACCGATTTATCTCACATTAACTATTAGAGGTAGCATTTGCTTAACTAGTAAATAAAGGTTAAATAACAAAAACTTTTTTTCAGAAATCAGCAATTAATATCCTTCATTTATAATCATAGACATAATAACAATGTTTGACAATTAATGTGGAAATTTTGTAAAAAAAAAAATTGTTTTTACAGAACAAGTTGCATATTCAGTGGCAAAAAAACTTACAATTTCATCATAATTTAGGAATTTATTATTTACCTCATTTGTATTCCAAATCAGTCAGAAATGTATATCAATGAAGCATCATTTTTTTTTGTTTTTATTATCTATCTTTGATATGCAAATGATTTGAAGGTTGTCTGTTTTCGATGATTTTGATAAAGATATAAAATTAAAAGTTGTACATGTTGTAAGCATTGAAATGAAGCAGAAAGAGAAAGAAGAGTAAGTAAGCACTTTATCTTTGTTTTAACGAGTGAGTTAAATAGAAAGGTATTTATTTAGTATTGTATAAAAGTATGCAATTTTAAGATTTAAGATCCATTCAATTTGTTCATTTGAATCACCATCTTTTCTTGTAACTAAATTGAAATGAAACATTTTCCATAATTCTTATCTATTCTGTGATCTATTAACTTTAAATTTATAAAATGCAAGTACAATCGCAATATACATGTATCTAATTTTTACCTTTCTTCTTTTGGGTGTCCTTGCTAACTGTAGCATACATCGGTTTATCCACTTATCAAAGATACAAGGTAAATTTTACATAGTAATTAGCATTTCAATAGTTAATGTCTATTTTGAAATATTTATATTATTTATACTAAGGGACCAGGCAAAATTTTTCACAATGATGGGACCAGTACAAAACAAAATTCTCATTTAAAAAAAAGTACGTGTCCCATGGCATTCGTATTTCAAAACAATATCTGTCCCATGCCTTCAGACTTATACAAAAGTTACTGTCCCGTGGTTACATCTTGATGTTAGTGAGATTATTGGAATAAAACCAAGTAGTCTTTCAGATTACAGATATTTGAAACATCGATGAAAGTTTTTTGTTTGTTCATTTTCATAACTCTTGTTAGCAATGCTTGTCACTTTGTAATATTTTTCATTAATTTGAAGATGTTTCCATTTGTAATATATCCTTCGTTTGAGTTTAAATGATATGACTTTTTAAAGATACTATTGTTTTGAAAAAAATAATATATATTTTTAAATATAACATGTATAATAAATAGTTCTCTTGGGTTAAGTACTGTAACTCATTAAAAAAAATTGTGTCCCATGGGTACTTAATGCTAAAAATGTTTTTGTTCCATGGTTTTCTTCGATGAAAAAAGTCATTGCCCCATGCCTGTTTGTACCGGTCCCATCATTGTGATAAATTTTGCCTGGTCCCTAATATTTAAAGCAATTGCCATCTCAAACTTGTCTCTCAAACTAAGAATGGAATCTTATTCATATCTATCTGTTAAATAACCAGGCCACATGATTATGAAGCAGTTTAAGACTTAAATCAAAATTATTATTTTTTATTTTTATAAAATGAATATTTATGATAAACTGACATTTAAACATTAAAACTAAGAAGCTCAAAATATTAACAAGAAAATGAATTCTAAAAACATAATAAAATTTACATATGCTCTTGAATTAATTTTAAGACAGTGTTTAATTTCTGATATTGTCTTATTAAACTGCTTTATGATCCTTGGGCCAGGTTCACATGGAATAATTTTTGTACATTGCAGCCTGTCTAATCTGACTTGCACTGCATGGGAGACAAATTTTGTGTTGGAATAGCAGGGTTTAGGTTAAAATGAATGGAGATAAAAATAAAGGTTTGAATTCACAATGAAAAGAATGGCAGAGGTGTCCGGTTAGACAGTTTTAACATATATAAAACATGAAAATAATAGCTGTCACCGTTTGTCAAACAGTTTTCAAAGCAAGGAAATTTCCGAACAGCTGAAAAATACTAATTAAAGAACAGTCCTTCCATCATAACTACCCTGTTTTTAGGCATTGATATCACAGAAACCATTTTTTTGCTTTTACAGACCAAATGTAATGAAGTTCAGATTTTCAAATGTTTTCTCTGAAGGATCAAACTACTAAAACTAATAACTTAAAGAGGAAACTCTTGAACAATATATCCGTTGGTGCTTTTTGATGTGTGGAAATAATACCTGAGTTCCAATATATTGTTATACATTGTATTTTGGCTTTGTCTTTTTAAAAAAAAAAGATACTGATATTTTTTTTTAAACAAGGCCAGGATCAGGTTCTAGATGCCAAATTGAAATACCGAGAACTATCAATAACATGTCAAAATAAAAAAAAAAATTAATGAAAGTTTTATACTTGTGCCAGATAATGCAAATGCTTTTTACAAGTTTAAAAAAGTCCCAAGCCCAAAAGATCCTGTGTTTAAGAACAAAGAGTATTTTAATACATGTAAGCATGTTTCCTTTTTTAACTTGAAAAACTGCAACCTGCTGTTCATATGAATTTGAACAAATTTGAATCGAGCTGATATACGAGGATCTACACAAGCTTCTTTTTTTCTCTGGACTAGCAGTTCCTATAAAGATTATTCTTAAAATGAATACACCCTAATTTTCTTTTTTTATCTTCTTTTAAAAACATTTTGGCCCATTATTTGAATAAGCAAAGTCGATCCACTTGACCTACGAATACTTCCAGCCAAGTTTTGCTGAGATTGACCAAGTAGTTCTGGAGCAGATGCTATAATTGTGAAAAAATTTTAGAAGACACCCAAACACTATAAAAACTTTGATGAACCTCTGAAACAGCGTGGCTCTGAATGTTATCTTTGTACATTTTCAAAAAATTGTTTTAACCATAAAAAGCATTTGTTGAACAGTCACTTTACTGTAGATTCTTACCGTACAGTAAAGGCATTTCTGGTTCATTTGCTACTCCAGTCTCCTCATCTATGTGAAAAAAATTAGAATATAGTCTTAATTTTATAGTTAATGTAAAAATGCAATTTAATATAAATTCTGTGTGGACAAGTTTCCTCTTGGTGTCTCAACGTGTATACCCAAGCTGTAAGATCACTTTTTTCTGCTTAGTTTGAGATGGAGCATTTGGATTGACATAAAGATTGCACGTACCACTCTCTAGCAATATTGATAAATAAGAGGAACAATCTCAAGGTTTCTTTTAGTTTGGGTATTTTACACTTATTCACATTTTGCCTTTATGTACAGTAAGTCAAAGATTAAAAAAAATTGTATCTGTTAATTAAATCATAAAAAGCATTTGTTGAACAGTCACTTTACTGTAGATTCTTACCGTAAAGTAAAGGCATTTCTGGTTCATTTGCTACTCCAGTTTCCTCATCTATGTGAAAAAAATTAGAATACAGTCTTAATTTTATAGTTAATGTAAAAATGCAATTTAATATAAATTCTGTGTGGACAAGTTTCCTCTTGGTGTCTCAACGTGTATACCCAAGCTGTAAGATCACTTTTTTCTGCATAGTTTGAGATGAAGCATTTGGATTGACATAAAGATTGCACGTACCACTCTCTAGCAATATTGATAAATAAGAGGAACAATCTCAAGGTTTCTTTTAGTTTGGGTATTTTACACTTATTCACATTTTGCCTTTATGTACAGTAAGTCAAAGATTAAAAAAAATTGTATCTGTTAATTAAATACATTGTATTTATCTCTTTCCATTTTATCAAGACTGCAGGCTGAGGGCAACTGATTCCTTCTCAGGTCAAACAAAACAGCCCACTTGGCAACTACATATATTTATTACATCCTACAGTGAAATACATGTATTGTGATTTATTCATTAAATAAAAGTGATTTTCTGTCACAGTGTGAAAGGATATCAAACTGATATTTTGTCACAGTGTGACAGAATATCAGAAGTGCCGCAAAACTCCTGATTTTTCTTCCCTTCAAGAATAAAAAACATTCTCACCTGTAATAAGATAGAGTAAATAAACCATACTGACAGACTAAAATTGCCAAATTTCTCCAAATATGTTGTTGAAACCTATGTTAACTATGTTTTCCATCTCACAATCGCTATGCAATAATGTATCATTTACTCAACTACGACGGCACAGCCTATGACACTGTGTTATAAAAAGACAGAGACAAAGGATAAAATTAAAGAAAACGTAAAAAGCATAAAGTTCAATACGTATTTTGTAGTTGTATATGGAATTTATTTCACTCATGAGAAAGGATTTTTCTGATATATCACTTTTGTTTTGTACTCATTAATATATCCAAAGAATCTTGTCCCACTCGTGAAAAAAATTCCTTATCCACCCACAAAACATTAAATATCCTTCAATTAAATCATGTGTATTGATAATATTTCTTTTCATAAAAATAAAACTATATTTATATTTGATCAATGAACAATTTGTTCGATTCTACTTGTTCGAGGTTTGAAACATGACTTGTACTAAAAAAAATGTCCAGTTTTACCAGATCTTGTTTCGTGCTGCTCTCTGTTCCCTGGAAGATGATTTCTGATATCTATAAATTGTGTAAACATTCAATTAATATTTATAATAATTTCTCATCTTAAGCCAGATTTGAAAGTTAAAAGCAAAGCATCAAAATCCCATTAAGGATGTTTACAGTATTTTCAGTATGATGTTTTTAAAACACTTTGAATACATACTATCAAACAATGGCTCCATTTTATCTTTGAAACCAAACAGGTTTCTCCTGTAAAACACCACTAGCACCACCACAACAACCACTATGATCAGGAGAGCCACCACCACTGCTGCTACCCCTCCTACTCCTGATCCACCACTCTCTTGTGGTCTGCTTAAATAGCCAAGTGTCAAAGAATGTCAGTCTTATATCTGTTAATAAAGTCCAGTTTGAAGTGCTGTAAAAGTTTAAAGTGCTGTAAAATGCAACAGATTTGCGTATTTAGCAGGTTTTATTATTAATGTGATTTATATAGCTTATTATATCATTACAGTAGGCTTATCACAACTAAAATATGAATCGACAAATGTACATGTATTTGTGAAAAGTGAAATTTCTGTAAATACAGAAAGTAGTTATGCATGGTTCTTTTTTTTTTTTTTTTATAGCACATTGCTTATATTTATGCTAGTTTGTGAATATGATAACGTATTTATTAAATGATTGTGTCTATACTTTTTTCTTTTAATCAGTGTAAGGTGAAGCAGAATGTAATATATATATATATATATATATATATATATATATATATATATATATATATATATATATATATATATATATATATATATATATATATATGTAAGTGAATGATTGTAATCAAAAGATTAAAATGTGTCAAAATGAATGAAAATAGAACCATGGGTTTTAGATAATTTTGATATTCCAAAAAGTTCAATGCAATAATTAATATTTTAAAAAAATCAAAAGATGACACCATAATATTTAACCTATGACCTCTACATTTGATCTTGAACTTTACTAACTTAAAGCATAGAAACTACTTATATATATGCCCAAATATCAGGTATCGACTACAAAGCAATCAAAATTTACAATTTATTTCATAACAGACAGTTAAATCGCATGCAGATGTCATGAACACACTCTAAATGTAGAGTCCAGTTTAAAAGATGTCTCTTTTTTTACAGAATGGGGTAAATACATATTAAAACTTTTCATTTTACCTTTCAAACGTAATTGATTATTGCTGTGAGTGATTTCATTCTTTTCTCTGGTGTGTTAATGAGAAATGAGTTTAAATTGATTTTACAGGTGCTTTGAATTACTTTAACGATACTCATTAGAAAGGTTGAGATTTCATACGTGTACGTGTGCGGGTACGTCTAGTAGGGGAATTCCCTAAATTTCTTGCGTATTACGTCATCAGTTTAGGCGTTGATAAGTTTTCTACGCGTTCCTACAACTTGTAAAAAGGCATCTACACTTTGGTGTAAACTTGTAGCTTTTTCAATAAAAACTAGTCAATTTATGTGTGAAACTGTTATTTTTGTTAATTATTTAGGATGTTAAGTTTCATGAACACTTATTTTATCCATGTTTTGTTTACTAACTAAAGTCAAAATAATGTCACAAAACTACTAAATAGTTGAAACAGAGACACCGATTGCAGTCTACACGTTCATGTTACACGTCATTAAAATCTCAACAAATTACAAAAAACGTGTACATGTACGTCAAAGTTTGTGCACACGTACACGTACAAGTTTAAAATCTCAACCTCTCTAAATCTCAAAAGACAAATTTTAAACAACGTGTACATGAACGTCAAAGTTTTTGCACACGTACTCGTACGCGTACAAGTTTAAAATCTCAACCTCTCTATTATCTTAGTTAACATTTAAAATTTGTAAGAAAAGATGTACAGATTTTCGATAGAACTCAGCTACCTTGTTTGGTGTTGTTCTGTGGACTGAAACCCCGTGGACATCATTGTTGTGCTAAAAATAGAGATTATTTATTGCTTTAGAAAATTGAAATAATATCTTTTTACTTTCCAAGCCATCTTTCAAACAAAATTGAATTTTCATATTTGATACTGCCGAATTTTAACAGCTAAAGACATCCTTCAAATTGATTCTAAAACATTTCAATCTACTTTACGTGTTCAAAGTTCCGCCAGAACAGCGATGCGTTCTGAAATTTAAAAAGATACAGGAATTTAAGGCACTAAAGTGTGTATTCTAAACCAAATTAAACAATAAAAATATCTGTTTAATAAAGAATAAAAACCTGAAATATTCCCATAATAAATTTCTTTTTAATCTTAGCAACTAACCTTTTGGGTTTTGCCAGACAATCTATGCCTATAACAAAGGACAAAGACAAAAGTTATGAAATATATGGAGATAACGAACAGTATTCAAGCTCAAAAGTCCATTAATCAATACAAAATAGGAGCAGAACAAACACGGACCTCCAAACATCAGAGGTGGGATCAGGTGCCATGGAGGAGTGAGCATCCCCTGCCGACCGGTCACACCCGCCGTGTGCTCCTTGTCATGATCGGGAAATAACGGAAAAATCCGTCGACAATTCAGTGTGTAAATAATGGCCTAACAATTAGTATGAAAAACGTCAGTCAGCATTTGATTCAAAGATAAATTGTATTTGCTGACAAGGTCATTGTATCGACCATAGAACTTAAGAAATGATGACTTTAAACGAGACAGCTGATATTCTTGTTTCATCAACTTATCTGACAATAATTTACCTCGTTTTAGAAATTGTACATACGAAGAGCATGCTCTTGCGTATCGAATCAACTGAGAGATATATACCCCGTATGCAGGTGATGAAGGTATATTGCTGCATAAGTAACGGAAGTTGACGATTGAAAAGTTAAAGTCATCACGTTTATCATAAAGCTTGGTTGTTAGATTACCATTAACGTCTTTTTCAAGTAAAATATCCAAATATGAAACAGATGTGTCAGACTCTGTGGTATCTTTTATCTCAAGTTCACAAGGATATATCGTATCGACATGAGAATGGAAATAACCATTGTTAATTGACAATACGTCGTCGATATATCTAAATGTCGAGTTGAAGGCCACAGCAAGTGTTTTCTTCTTTTCACGTACAAGATTTTGGACAAATTCTGCTTCATATGAATACAAAAAAGGTCTGCTAATAACGGGGCGCAATTGGTACCCATGGGAATTCCAATAGATTGTTGGAAGACCTGGTCTCCAAAAACCACATAGATATTGTCAATCAGAAACTCAAGCATCTTTTTAATGTCAACTTCAGAGTACTTGTGTGAACAATCAGAATGTTTTTTAACAAAATAATTTTGCAAATGACCAATGACAAGGTAAGTATATTTACGAGTTCCATTTTTATTGAAAAAGCAGCTGTCAATGATATCAAAAAGCCTGGACTTTAATTTATCGTGGGGAATGGTTGTGTACAAAGTTGAAAAGTCGTAAGTTTTTAAGCTGTTGATTTTGGTAAAATCTTGTGATTTCAAATTTTCCAAAAGTTCCTTGGAATTTTTAAGTATCCACATCTGATTTACACCACTTCTCGAATATATTGTTGCACAGTACTCTTGAAGTTTCTCCTTCACCACTGTTAATACCTTAGTGAGGAGTAAAGATAGAGGCTTGGTTGAACATTTACTGGAACCCGCTATGTATCTTTGTAAGGATTTTTATGAAGTTTCGGAATCCAATATAAATATGGTAATTCAAATTCATTTTGGTTGTTTGGAATATTAAAAATATTCAAAACTGACATATGATTTTGAATTCCTTAGAAAGGGAACTATGAGTATAAGTTGGATTACCACTTGTAGAATTAAATCCAAGTTCCTCTAAAATACATTTAATATAATGAGCCTTACAAACAAAGACAATGTTGTTACCAGCTTTGGCAGCAGGGACCAGTACGTACTGATCATGTAATCTATCTAATTCTTTTTTCACTTCTGGAAGTGAAGTCATGAAAACAAAGGAAACAGAGTAACAAAAACAACAAGCACTACAAGTAAACTACAAAACACTATACATTTACAACGTTACATGTACATGTTTAATTTGAAAGTTTATAACCAATTGTTAAGAAAGAAATTCCGGACCGCTATGAAATACGTCCGGTTTGTCGGGTATATTTTGGTGAAGGCACCCAAAAATTTTGTAGGGTATATTTTGGTGAAGGCACCCAAAAATTTGAAAATTTATATATATATATATATATATATATATATATATATATATATATATATATATATATATATATATATATATATATATATATATATATATATATATAAAATACATTTATCATAGATCATAGAATAAATCTATACTTTTCTCAACAAGAGTTGATGCTAGGTACGGCACATTGGGACATATTTGTTCTGCAGTGCACTTTGTGACGTCCATCCTTTGAAGCTTCTTGTTGTAATATGGACATTTCCCTGTTAATAATAACTTTTAATCATAGAGTTTAAAAAATATAATTACAACAACGATATAGGTTCTTTTGTAAATAAATTAAATCAAAATCAATATTTTCTATCTATTAGTCTTATTAGTCTTAATCTATTAGTCACCATTTATTTGTGATAATCTTAGCGAAATTATCATTATAATTAACTACTCTCCAAGTGATCAATCCTGTGATACAAATATTTTGTAGCAAAAATTTTATTTAATGACTTATCTTAAATATGTATATATGCATTTGAAAAAAAGAAATAACGTTACTGACACAATTCTCATACAGTTTAGAGAGACTATATATTTTCCTAATATGTTACACAAATATGTTCATAAGACTGAGAACAAATGCCAAAAGTCTTGCACTCATGGCTGGTGAAAAAAAATTACCACAATATTAAAGGACTTATAGACGGTATAATATAATCAAATGTTTTCAATGTACAATAGCTTAATTTATATACCTGGCTCAACAGGAAATGGACCTTCACAAACGTACATTAGATTTCCACATTCGTCAGGTACACATATAAGTTCTTTAGGATTGAGACACTTTTCGCTTTGGTCACTGTTCTGGCAGTACGCGCTCACACAAATAAGTAGGCATTCAAGGTAAAATGATATTTGACACAAATTACCTGCCATATTTTAACAAGGGTATTTGATATCATTCAGGTAATCTACAAAATATCAGTATAAACTTATTAAAATCAATGTTTATAATATAATTGTTTTTTTTGATATTTTAAGATCATTTATTACAGAAGACAATTCAAAGATTTGAAAGTTTATAATTTTTTGATTATGAAATTACTTGATCCCCACTTGTGCATGTATTGTACATCTACTTCTCTCCCAGTTCACAATAAAATTTTCATCAAGTAATATCTGTAAGCTGGGCTTGTGTTCATTTATGAAAAGCCTTAATTTCTAATAGCAAATTAAAGTGATTTATGTGTGCCAATTGAAGTACGAGAATTAATTACATTCTTCAATTCAGGTAGAAAATTCCAAAAATCCTGACTTTTGGATAATACTCGTGATAATACCTGGCGTGTAAAAACAATAAATAGCATCTTTCTTTTCAAATACAATGACATTCGAAACCGAAAGTATTTAAAAGAAAAAGAATGGATTAAATGCTCCAAATCAATGATAATATTTTCCCCACCTTGGTAGAAGATTACATTTACAGTGACTTATTTTATTTTCAATACTTTCTAATATTAAATCAAATAATACATCCTACCTTTATAGAAGAAACTCTGTGAGGTGGGAATTCCCACCACTTTAAAATAATTATGTATGGTGCGCATATATAGCCACAACAAGAATACAGGTGTAACACACCTGGATAAAGGATTACTTTGATCTACGAAAAGAAAAAAAAACGAAAAGAAAACACAAAGAAAAGAAAGGAAAAGGTAGAAAATAAAAAAAGAAACGTAACGAAAACAAAACAAAAAGAAGAGGAAACTAGATGCGTGATCTTGATGAATTAAGGCGTGTAAAGGTAGTCTTTTGAAATTGAAAGCTTCAGTGGATTATTTAAGGGACTTACAAAAACCAGCAAAACTCTAACTAAAGTAGAAGAGAAAACGAAAGCAATGAAGGCTAGAAACCAGAAAAAGTAAATGAAAAAATCTGTAAGTATTCCATAAACTGTAATTTCCTACGAAAACTCACATATAATAAACATGAGAGTGCTTGCAATAAACTTCGTGCAAATTTGAAACTACTCTATGTTTGAAATGATCTTATATTGTTTTGTTTGTTTGTTTATTGTTGTTTAACGTCCCTCTCTCGAGTTTTTCACTCATATAGAGACGCCACCACTTGCCGGTGGAGAGCTGCAATTTTTGACCTATACCCAATGATATGCAATGTGTGTTTGATTGTTTGTTCGTTGTTTGTTTAACATCCCTTCGAGAATGTTTCAATCATATTGAAACGCCACCACTTACCGGTGGAGGGCTGCAAATTTAGACCTGTAATCGGCACTTATTGATAATATAGTGAAGATGTGTCAATTCTTTATAAATCTTCAACAAAGGCTTAGTTAGAGAAAATGTGTCAATTCTTTATAAATCTTCAACAAAGGCTTAGTTATGATGATGAGGGTACCTCTTCTAGATCTGTGAATTTCATGATCATGGGTCATGGGTTCTGGTGTTAGGGTAGGGCTGTGTTGAATATGTAGTGCAATTGCATTATTTCTTTTAAAATCTCTGCTCTTGGGCATATCGGAGGCAAACAGTAAAAGTTTTAATAAGCAAAAGTAATACATTTTTACCAGATTTTTGAACATCTAGATCATTTGGTCAGGTGTTCTGGTTCTGGCCAGGGCTCTGTTATTTTGTATTCTACTGAGAAAAGTTATTCCCATTTGCCATTCATTTTGATAATTAATCACTGTAAAGAATGTATTTGAAAGGTAAATAGAACAAGAGAATTATGCAAGAATTTTTATTGTATATTACAAAAAGTGCTTTCATAGTTTTACATGTAATGATCAGATTGACTTGTCAATAATAGATAAATAAAAATGAGACAAAATAGCTTATGTTATTTAATTGTTCTTCAATGTTCAAGATAGGCCAATGTGAAATGTTGCAATATGGGGTTTAAAAAAGTACAGAAGCACTATTAGTTTGTAATAGTCTGCATGGTGATAGTGATTAGCGGGG